CAAAGTTTGAGGATGCAAGTCTCTGGGTTGAGAAGAAGGTTCTGGGGTTTGATGTCTCTGTGACAGACTCCGTTGGCATGGATGTAGGCCAGCGCTCGGAACAGCTGGTACATGTACACCTGCGGAGGAGAGAGAGAGAGAGAGCGGAGGGGAGAGAGAGAGAGAGAGAAAGAGAGTTGCAAAATGAACTTTACAATCCATGGAGGAGAGGAGAGGAAGTTGAAGAAAAATCACTCTCATAATCCGTGAGTTTTGTTGGCCTCGGAAATGACATTAGACATCACACTGCTTACATAGACACGCAAGGTGTGAGTTGGCTAAAACGGTACCTATACACGCTATTATGCAACGTTAGCTATACGCTCTTCCACTCAGCACAATTGTGCATATGAGTTCTAAAGTTAGTTAAGTTCATGCACCCTCATATTTCAGAGACCCCTGACAAGCTGAAGGCATGTATGTACCTTGACATAGAGCTGGGGCATGACTTGCTTGGCTTTGCTGTGATGTCGAATGACGCGATACACAGTCTCCGGTACATAGTCCAGGACCAGGTTGAGGTATAACTCATCTTTCTGTTGGGAGAAGAGAGACGTCGGGAAAGACAGGTGAGAGAGATGGGAGGGTGAGTGAGCGAACACTACACACAACTGGTGCAAAGAAAAGGATTTGCACCAGTGGGCAAATGTCTACTATGAAATGTATTTGTAAAACAGTGTCCTACTCCTTTCTCTGAGGTGCATTCCACATTCCACAGATGGTTTTCCCTCCCAGGTAGAACCCTTAACTATAGTCATTAGACAGGGGCTATCACATTACACCACATCAATAGGCCAGCTCTGATGACAACCCCCCTATAGTCCAGATGGCTGGGGTTCCCAACAGCCCAGGGACAAACACTGAATCACTCACAACTCAACCCACACCCGAGGTGTATCACGATGAACCCTGACCTCTCTACTATTCCCAATACAGTATACCATGTACTACACACACTGGTCTTTGGTGGCACCAGTGAACATTGTGAACATAAGGAGGAAACAGAGCTACAATTCAAGGGAAAACGGTAAATTTGAGGAAAAGCCAAAAGTCCCAGAAGACACTCTCAATGCAATGGGGAAGTCTGATAACACAAACAGTTATCTTTCTAGTGGATAGCCTGAGGTCAGTGGTGGTGGTATATATATATCATAATGAGAGGATTGTGTTTCTGCCCAGCTGTCGATTAGCCTAGTGGGCAGAGCTAGTGGAGAGCTCTTTCACACATACAGGAGAGAAGAAGAGAGAGAGAGAGAGAGAGAGAGAGGAGAGGAGAGGGGTAGGGGGGACTAACTTTGTCTCCCGATGAGTAGAAGAAATACTGCAGTCTTATGATGTTGCAGTGGCTGAGTCGTCTCATGATCTGTAGCTCTCGATTCTGTGCGAGGAGAGGGAGGAATTGTCAGCCACTTATTCCCACTCCCATTTCTCAGCATACAGTTTCAACTGAGGGCAGTTAGCTGTGGACACCCTCGCAATTACCCCACTCTTGCACCACCGACCCATACCTCAAATACCGTCTTTCTCTCCACCTCTTATCTCCCTTTCTCCTCCCTCTTAAACTTGGAACCATGGTTTAACTGCCCTTCCTCCCCCCTGCTTCACTTCATTAGACACAATCCCCCCTGTCCTCTTTACCTTTCTCTCTCTCTCCTCTTTTCACCGACCCCCCCCCATCTCATCTTTACAGCACCTCTCTCTCTCCTCCTCTCTCTCCTCTCTCTAACCTTGAACCTCTTGTCTTGGAGGACCTTCTTGATGGCCACGCTGTCGTTGGTCTCCAGGAGGCCTCGCCTGGTACACACCACCCCGAAGGACCCCACTCCCGATGATCCTGAGGTCCGTGTAGCTGATGTCCTCCTGCCTGTCAGGTGGAGCTCCCACCGTCGCCGTCACGTGAGTGACCGACTATCCCGTTTTTACCTTCTGTAGAGTGGGGAGGAGAAAGAGTAGAGAGATGTGCCTTTTCTAGACATAAACTCAGCATACTGTTTATTACCGCTGTTTGTGGTTTTTTTTACAACATGAAACAGTTCACCAAAAGAGGAGAGAAGAGCGAAAGCTCTGTTAAAGATTGGTTTCAGAAACTCCTTCCATGCACACGTAAGATTAAAGACGAAGTGGTGTATTTCGTGTAGATATATTTCACCCCTGTTGTGAGTCGTTAACAAGTAAGAGATTACAAAAGAGAGTGAACTACTCGCTGGAGGACAAGACAAGAAGGAGGGGAGTGCAGGTACATGGAGGATAGACAGACGTATGGTATATACACCTGAGAAGACTACCAGTGACAGGGAGAGCAAAGGAACAAGGTCAGATCAGAAGATCGTGTAATTGATGTCCCACCACATTCCTCAGTCTCGAAACAAGGTGTACTGTAGTCCCAGGTCATTGGAAGACAGCTCCTTGATCTTCCACTTCAAAGACAGACAGACACCCAACAACCACTGTACCCAGCCTCTGGCAAGTGTTAGTACCTGTGGACACCACCCTGTGGTTAGTGGATGCACCTCACCCTGTGGTTAGTGGATGCACCTCACCCTGTGGTCAGTGGATGCACCTCACCTGTGGTCAGTGGATGCACCTCACCCTGTGGTCAGTGGATGCACCCTTCCTCCTGAGGGGATACTTTAATAACCTACTATACAGCCTCCATATTGCCTTGATATAGAACCTCAGTAGTGGACTATAAATAATAGAAAACCTCCAGATTATTGTATATACAGAGTAACCTCCATTACGAAGGCAATTGAACCTAATGCTCAGGGACTAAAATAGTACAGAACCCTATCATCATAATTGGCAGCGGAGCGCCCAATGTGTATGCAGTGATGATCGACACCTTGCAACTATAGAAGCCCAACTCAGAAAGAAAAAACTACAATCGGCAATAGTGACCACAACATGTGAGCCAACTGTATGTTTCCATTAGCAAACCAAACCCAGGCCTTCCTATTAGTGTGTCGTCATGTACATGTTCAGTGAAGTGTGGTCCACACCTATCCACTGTGCTACAAATGGACTTTGCGCCTACTAGAGACTGACATAATTATACACCGCCAGTCAGGACACTTGCATTACCACTATACATCTCCATACAACACCACTATAATTATTATGGAGAATGATAGCTATGTAGGTACGTACTGTGTGTATGAATGCAAGTGTATCCAACAAATCAACTACACCCAGGAAAACACTGAAAGAAGAGCTGCCCTTGGTGGGATGTGAACGTACATGTAAGAGGAGAGGAAAGTCACTCCTGCCCAGCTAAGGACCCATTTACCACTCACATGCAAACAGAACTAACACACCAGGCTAAGAGGAGCCATATGTATGTACACGTTGGGGAGTGGGTTAAGTGAACATACAACATATGTGCAATGCACACAGCTGAGCAGACTTGCACATGTAGTGTTGAAGGTTTGCTGGAGAGGCAGAATGAAACAAAGGGCACAAAGGCAGTCTCCTGAACACACGTGAGTCACTGGATCCACCAGCAGGTGTGCTAACACATACCCAGTATAGTACATGGTACAGAGTACACTACCCCCAACGTCAACGCAACACACCGCGACATGATAGAGAGGAAGGCACATGTAGGTACACCAAGGTGGTGCGTAGTCAGTGGCTAATGGAGGGGACAAGGCTATGAGACTCCTAATGATGAGTGAGTAACCTGAGCCCCCAATGAGACCTCACCACCATAACACCCAGAGTGAGAGAGGGGTAGCCACACCCCCAAACCCCTGGTATGCCTGGAATGAAGAGTGGGCCGTGAATGTAATCAGGATGATGACATCATGACAAGTTCACATTCAGTCCAAATGCCCCAACACACAAGCTACTGTACACACATGAACAGACCAGAGACCAGTGTTATTACAGGAATGACATACATAGAACCTCTCTCTAAGGACACCTCTCAGAATTGAGGACACCTTCATAAGGACACATTTCTTTCTGGTTATAGTGGTCTATAGTAGAGAACTGATATTGGCAGAGGCTGTAGTTTCAGGTGACAAGATGACATTCGAAACCAGGAAACCATTGGCTAGGGTCACATAGCAGTGAGCCAGTGGCAGGCCAGAGGTTTAAAGACTAGTGTTGGCAGATGTGGTGGGAATGGAGGGAAATGAGACCATTGAGTAGGAGTGTCAGTTGTCTCACATGGAGAGGGTACTGCACAAGGGAGGGGGCAATGAGGTTCACAACAAAGGGAATGGGCAAGGAGGGGCCAACACAAGGAAGGGAGCAGGTGAGGGCAAGAGTATATACATGGAGATAGAAGGGCTGGTGGGGTGGGATGCACAGACAAGCAAACCCGTTGGTCACCACATTCCTGACGAGGAATGGGAAAGGGTGGGAAAAGCCAGTAAGTGTAGAGGGGAAAACTGGCACAGCCAAATTGGGGGTGAACACACTGAAAGTGATTCTCACATTCAACCAGTAACCAACTTTTCCACTCACACTCCTGGAAACCACAACCACATCTCTCTCTAGCTACACATCCGTGACTGGAGTATTACAGCTGAATCCTCCCTAAGGACACCTCTGAAATGAGGACACCTCTCCAGTAAGGACAACAAGTTTGCACCCTTGAAATAAGGATGCTTCACATTTGGACACTTTCCTCCCGTGTCTAGGTTAGAGGGGTTCCACCATGCACTGTGACTACCTAAGGACCCGTACAGGAAGAACTGACGTATAAGGTGAGGGAAACTGTCTGGGGGGTGACTCCTGGGGGGACCAGCTATTGTTGACTTTCCCACATCAGCAGAGCACACAGTATGCAGTGTATACCTAATGCTATTGTGGTCAATCATCCGTTTCAGGCCATTTCTCCCAGAGGAATCCCCTATTCACACTAAAATGGCAGCCTCAAACCCCCCCTACTTGCCCACTACAGATTGAAAGTGAGTAAACTCTGGAAAAGAACGTTTCACTCACTTTCCACTGCATCTTACTAGAGCAGAGAGACTGGGATGTATCTGACAGACTACGTGTAGTGTGTGGGAGGTTACTGAGACAGAAAGCTATAAGAAAGACAGAGTGATGCAATGAACACACTCTTAGACCGGTGGTGCAGTCACACAGGAAATCATGGTTGGTAAGAACTTGTGCCAAGAACCAGGATGAAATACTGAGACGTGACCATTACCTGTAGTCTCTAACCCCCCAACTGCTGCAACCCACATACCAGTCATGTGACGGTCACGTGATCACACAAAAGACCTGTCACACCCCTTTACTAACAGCCTGTCCACATATTTCCCAGTTTCCACATCAAAGTCACAGTGAAAGCGAGAGTAGAGTCCCCAGCCACACTAACGCAACACCAGACAACCCACTAACTGCGACACACACTTCCCTAGCTATACAGGCGTCACAAAATACATGAACGGGGTTTATTTCTTACTTGTAACGCGCATCATTCCGCCCTGTGTGGCAGACTGGCCTCCTCTATTGGCGCCGCCGTCAACAAAAGACGGAGCTCTCACGCGCGAGTCCTTCGGCCTACTCATTCTCCGTCCCTTCCTCTCTAACTTTCTTGGCGGCGATTGGTCGGGTGGCTCCTACGGGTGTTTTTCTGCGCGAGTGAGATCGAACCCGTCTCCGTGGTCGCCTTATTGTCAGACCACACGGTAGAGAAAAGTGACTGGGCCGGCGAATCGACGAACAAAATACCAGTGGGAGAGTGAGGACAAGGGTGATCGAAGAAGGAAGTGCCAACTGAATTGTTACACACACTTGGGAATTCCGGAAGTTGGTAATTTGTTTCGTTCAATTAGAGAAGCGCTCGGTTCAAAGGCCAATATTTGGCTCCGCCCCTCACTTGTTGCTCAACAACTGACAACACAGCATTGGGTAAGTTCGAGTCCAGAGGCAGAGCCTCTGTGATGTCCAGTACAACAAGTAGCTCATCATTCGGTTACCAGGTCCTATACCGTAGCGGGAGAGGACATGGAGAGGGGAGGGGAGCAGCCGAAGTCGAGCTAAAAGCCGTCGTTTTGGACGGAGACCCGGGCATAGAGTCGGAATCGGAGGCCGAGAGGGAGGATGGCGGGGGAAAGAGGGGACCGGAGGACGCCCAGAGCCTCATCGGAGAGGAGCCGGAGATAGACGAGGCCGGAGAGGCCAGGGACTACGAGGTGGCGCTCAAGCACGCCGGGTTTGGGCTCTTCCACGTGATCCTCATGTGTATGAACGGCGTGGCTCTGGCCTCGGACGCCGTGGAGGTGAGAGGGACGCGTCTCGGGGAGGTTTCACACGAGAGAGGGCCTGTATTCAGGGGGAGAGGAATGTGAAACTCCAGCAAACTTGACACGAGGCCCCTCCAATCTATCTTCTTTCGTGCCAGTATAATATACTATATCGCCATACTAACACCAACGTGCTGGCTATTCTGTTCCTCACAGTTGCTGTCGCTGGCATTTGTACTCCCGATCTTCCAGCGGGAGGGGTTTGCCACTTCCGATGCACAGAACGCTCTCCTCAGTTCCGTCATCTTCATGGGAATGTTGTGTGGGAGCTACACGTGGGGAGGGTTTGCCGATGTCCTCGGTCGGAGGTTCGTCCTCATCGGATCTCTCACCGTGAACGGGCTATTCGGAGCCATCTCTGCCTTCTCCCCCAACATCTCCGTCTTTATTGTCTGCCGTTTCATTAGCGGTATTGGGTACGCCAATTTGAACACAATTTATTACTAGATTAGGCAAATATTTTACGCCATAAAGCTGATAATCATGCTTACTGCCGCCTTACGTACAATGGCATACCACAGATAGATTGTCTAACCTCGTACTAACAAATCTGATTGGTCGATTCGAATCAGCTATGCACTAAACAATGGCATACCACAGATAGATTGTCTAACCGTTGGCAGCTTTGGGAAATTTACAGCAGTAATGAAACACTGATTGGACGGTAAACAGTGAACTTTGCACTTTCTTCCCTCTCTCACTCCCTCACACACGCACACACTCCTCTCTCTCTCTCTCTCTCTCTCTGTTTCCTCTCCCTCTCTCTCCAACCAGTGTGGGAGGTTCTCTCCCAGTCATATTCCCATACATAGCAGAGTTCACACTCAACAAATACCGCGGGACCTACATGTCTCTCCAGTCCTTTTTCTGGACCGCAGGCCGGCTCGTTTGCGCAGGTGTGGCCTGGCTCATCCTTCCCCTGGACACTGGAGCTTTCCACAGCTGGAGACTCTACATCTTCCTCTCCTCTCTCCCTGCCTTCTGCGGGGCCTTGCTCTATCTCCTACTACCAGAGAGCCCAAGATATCTACTAGAGGTATGTTTATACAGGTATATATACATGTATATATACTGTTGTGAGTATGGGAGAACATTGCCACAGCTTGTTATAGCGACACCATACTCACATACACCTTTCTCCATAGCATGGGAGGAAGGAGAAGGCTCTGAGGAACCTGAGACTGGTTCACACCATCAACCACTTCCACAAGAGGAAGTCTCACTTCCTCATCAAGAGCATCCGCGTGGATGCCGTCCATGCTGACGAGGTGGGTGTGGTCAAGACCGGAGGATCCCTCTCGCAGCGGTGGACTAGGTTCAAAGGTCACGTGAGACAGGTGAGCTTGTATTAGAATACTTGAACCAACCATATTTACATTCTTTCAATGTGGTCGATTGAAGTCTTAAGTTCTTTAAATACCGTTGGTTGAAGTTTTGAGTCACGAAATCTGAGTCGTAAATAAAGTAACGAAGTTCGATACCTCAGTGGTGGTGGTGGACTCAGCTATCTGTTAGCTAAGTTGAGTGTTGTGTCTTTGTTCTCACAGCTGATGTCTCACACACGAGAGCTGTACAGTCGGACATACTGCAGACGAACTATTCTCATGAGCACCATCTTGTTTACTCTCTCTTTTGGGTAAGATTCCCCCATCTCCCCCCACACACACACCCTTCTTTAACCTAACACTCAATGTGCATGAGGGTTACAATACTTGGTTTGTGGCAGTGTACATGTCTGTCTCTCTGTCTCAATCGCTATTCTGGCGTGCGCATGCTAAGAAGAAGCTAATGGCCTCAGTGCTAAAGTACGCATCAATAGTTATTGATACAACGTTAAACATGAGTTAAGATACACAGTGAGTCTATTGTTCAAATTACGGCTGTCTTACCTTTTCAGGTCGTATGGAGTGCTACTGTGGTATCCATCATATGTGGAACAGGTCACTAATGCCGACAAGAGGTCAGAGTTCTCGAGATTCTGTCACCGCTCGACTCCAGAGAACGTCTCTCTATATGACTACTGCGGCTGTGACGGAGCTTCTTTCTCTGACCAACATTTCTCCAACACTCGCTTTGCAAATTTTCAACTCAATCTCGCCGACTTTCACAACGTGCGGTTTACCAACGTCACTTTCACTGAATCACTGTTGGAGAGTTGCAACTTTACAAACTGCACGATGGAGAATGTGGTGTTTGGAGAGGGGACACAGATGGTTCGTGTTGGATGGTACGCCACGGATTTCGTTGGTGTTAATGTCACAGGGCTGAGTTCTTGCGAGGGGGAGGTGATTGGCAGAGGAGGAGGGGAGGTGGGGAGTGGTGAGTTTGGGGAGTTGGTGAGGGTGCTGGAGGGAGGGAATGCCACTAGCTGTGAGGGTGTGAGGCAGGTGGAGTGTGAGGGGGAGGAGTCGGGGTCGGTGTATCGGGATCTGTTTTTCGTGGCTGCATCGGCGAGTGTTGGGAACATTGCCTCTGCCATTGGTGTGTACTTCATGAGGAGGAACTACTGGATGGGTCAGTCTATAGTCCAGCACATGTATATATAGTGTTTGTGTGTGTGTTTGCTTCTCCATTGTGAGCAGCAGAGTGTTTACCTTACCTCCCCCCTCCATGGTTCTGTGTATGTACAGTGCAGGGAGCAGGGAGAAGGCCTGGTACATTAATGCATGTTTCATATACTTATTGACTGCAAGATATGTTAGCTTGCGGAATAATTATATAATAATGGTTGCACACCATGCACATCAGAACTTTTCACCTCTCGTTTTTTCTTCTTCTCCCTCGCTATTCCCATCGCATCCTCCCTCCTCCAGCTATCAGTATGTTTGCCAGCACGGCCTCAGTCTTCCTCCTGTACGTGGCCCACACTGAGGTGTTTGTGGTGGTGGTTCTCTGCCTCTTCACTGCCCTCTCCACCCCAGCCTGGAACGATACCAGTCTCCTCAACAGCGATCTCTACCCAACACACCTCAGGTACAATGATGATGGGGAAATCCTCTTATTATTGGACCCACAATTTCTTTGAATTGCTACAGTCATGTCTGTGCACACTTTCCTCTAGTTTGACAATACTGATGAAGTTTATACTTGCTGTAGCTTGCGTTTTTGCCGTCCTCTGCAATTTTATTATTCCTAATGTTGTTCTTGGTTGGTTTGTTACTTATAATAGAGTGAGTAGGGTTCTGCAGTCTTTGCAGTTAGGTAGAGCTGGTTTATTGTTCTCTCTCTCTCACCCTCCGCAGGTCCTCGTCACAGGGGATGCACCTGTTATTTGCCAGAATAGGAGCCATCCTCGGAACCAATGTCTTTGGTGTCTTCATCCACCTCAACCCAGCAGTCCCCATCCTCCTGACGGCCTGTCTCCTGCTAGTCGGCAGTCTCGCTGCCCTCCCCCTCCCCAAGACTACCAGGAAAACCATTCTCAAGTAGTTTAGAAAATCACACATTCCCTCATCCATCTCATTTTACTGTCATAATTATTTTCATCATTTTTTTTTACTGTCAGCCCCACCAATGCTGTGCGGAGCAAGCATAAGGTGTGCCCCACTTGGAGGTTATCTCATTTCCCAGTTACAGTGTATTTACTGAGGATGGCTCCGATTCTGGGTGCCATGACTCTCTCTTTCCTCCCGCATCACCCACGACAAATGTGGTGCAGAGGGAAGAGATTGTGATGAGGAGCCAGAGAAAGTTTAATGCAGGAAGGCAGAAAATTTAATTCCTAAACTCTGAAGGGTATGTGTTTATCTACTAATACTCAGTCTATAGCTGTAGCGTTTTAGGGGCGTTCCGCCTTTTGCAGACACAGGAATGCTGCCTGCATAGCAAGATGCGAAGCCAAAAGCAGTTAGTGTTTTTATAAATCAAGTGAAATCTCCAGCTGTGGATTTTTTCACCTCGTTTTTTGGGGCGTTCCAGTTTGGGCATCCGCATCTTTTCGCACACCGCAGCATGGCAGCACAACCTCCCCAGGATGATAATTGAAATTGCTAGCGAGGCAAACTACTAATTTCCTTACAGGGTACAATAGGAGATACACATACAAACAACGCATCTTTTCGCACACCGTAGCATGCCAGCACAACCTCCCCAGGATGATAATTGAAATTGCTAGCGAGGCAAACTACTAATTTCCTTACAGGGTACAATAGGAGATACACGTACAAACAATGTCACTCTCCCTTCTTAGCTTCATTAGTTCCTTCGATATACTCCATGAATGCCTTCTGTAGCCGTTTAGCAATCTCCACAGCTACAGCGTGTAGCTCAAGAACCAGCTTTATCTCAACTGAGGCACCTTTCCCCATCCTGCACCCAACGGCCTTCCCAACTTCACTCTCCCCATACTTCTCACCGACTGCCGCTCCACGCTGGGAGAATATCAGTGGCTGCTCGTGGATGAATTTCTGGAGGTCTTCGTCACGAATCTCCTCTGGTTTCTCAACGATTCGGCCAAAGTTGAGTTTCATCATGGCAGGCTGGGCTCTCGGGTTCATGGTGTAGAGGGCAGCGAACCAAACAGGGCTGAGCCAATGGTCTCGATCGAGGAGAGCGGGCTCGATTGAGTACCCTGCTGGCACAATTTCGATACGGTTGGCGATGGCTTCATCGACACCAACGTGAGTGACGAGGGTAGAAACTACGCTCTCCTTCCACGCCTGTATCATGGCTTTGAACAGTTCGGGTTTCTGTCCATCCTCTGCCTCGAGTATCTCTGTGTCCATATCTTGGGCTAGATTTGCGAAAGTGAGAATGAAAAGAGAATTCTCCCACATCCTCTTCCCAAAGATTTCGGTGAGTTTCTTCATGGCGGTGACGTCTTCATCGTCTTCCTCGAAACGTGTCTCCATCAAGCTAACACAGTAGATCCAGATGTCCATGTCAGAACATTTCTCCTTCATGTCTGCCAGATACTGGGCCTCGTTAGAGGTGCCGTCTTGCAGTCCAGGCGAGTCCCACACCTTCACCGTAACGGAATCATTTTCTTGCCACTCGAATTTCTTTTCGTAACTTGTAACTTCGGCGGTTTCTGGGTCTAGAGTGTCGCCCTCTTTAGCCAATTTGTCTCCCACGAGCCCGTTCACTAGAGTCGACTTGCCGACCCCAGTCTTCCCAGTGATGAAAATGTTGACTTCTTTGCTGCTTTTGAACCACTGGAGCACGTCTCGGCGAATGTTTTCGGGGAGCAGCACGAATTTATTGTAGATGTCCGAGTCAACGATGTCCGCCGCCATGGCAGAGTCGTGCTACTTACACCGTGCCGTCACGCGCAGCTAGCGCTAATTAGCTAGTACGATTATTGGTCCGATCCGCCTAGAATTTAGAAAAGATGGCTTCAATTGCAGATCCCGTAACGGTAGCGGAGGATCCAGTACCGCCGCTGGACCTGTCAACAGCTATTGATAGGCTCCCAGTCACAAAGCGAGAGAAAGGAGAAATAAAGAAGTGGATTACAGATAGCAGGAGGAAACGAATCGAGATCCTGATAACAGGGAGGACGGGAGTGGGAAAGTCGACGCTAGTCAACTCCCTCGTCGGCAGGCCCGTCGCGGAAGCTGGGAACATGCGCGCTGTAACGAAGGTCGTAACGGACTACCAGTTACGACAGAGGAAGGAGTTGAGGTAGTGGTGTGGGATTCGCCTGGTCTCAGGACAGCTCGGGAACGAGTAAGAGTATCTTGCCGAGTCTAAAAGCAAAGTGCAGCGACGTCGATGTCGTATTTTCTGCATCAGACTCGCAACAACTCGATCCGAGTTGAAGGTGGCGCAAAAATGAACTCCGCGCCATCAACAAGTGACGACAACTTCGGTCCGAAGTTGTGGAAACACGCCATATTCGTCCTGCGTTGCCAACACACTGGAAGCAATGCTGAAAGTGAAACCTGATTGTGAGAGGTATTCAATGATAAGCTGCAGGGAATGGGAAGGGAGAATCCAGGAGCACTCATTGAAGCAGGTGTTCCAAAGAAATAGCGGAGAGTGTCCAGTCCAGCCTGCTGACATCCCCGGAAGCCACACCTACCAGGCCGAGAGTACTGGCTCAGCAAGCTGTGGTTGTCTTTCTCAAGTGCGCAAACAACACACTCAAAGCCGGGCATAACGCTACTATGAACCTGCATCGCCTCAAGAGAGCAAGTGATGTCAATGAAAAGGATTTCAGTAAAAAGGGGTACGAGCAACCCATCGTGGTGGATAAAAATGATATGGCCCTTGCTGGTCTGGTCTCGGGAATTGGTGTAGCACTGAATGGGGTGGCCATTGGTGCGGGGATTGGGGCCACGGTTGGGGCTGCAGGAGCAGGTGTTGGGCTGTGGTGGGGCCCGCTGGTTGTAGGATGCGAGTGTTGGGCTAGCTGCAGCCTTCTTCTCCTCATCCACTGCAGACCGCGAGAAACTTCTACTAGATAGTGTACACAGCCGCAGCGCTACCTGTCACACACCGCTAGTGCTTGACAGTGTTCATTATGGAGTATCTGTGCCAGTATTCATCTATCGTCCCTGCGCTTTGCTGTGGCAAATTATTTGCCGTGATATGCGATGCGCATGCGCATTACCATGTCCTTGAGCCCCTCCCTTTCTTTCGATCCGTGCAACGACTAGAGCTAGAGGCAGGCCAAGGCGGACAATGTCGGGTTCAAGCTCACGCACAGCGGTAGCAGCCTCACAACAGGACTTCACTAGTGGTGACGGCCCAGGATCGATGCCCACAGCTGGAGGCCGATCAGGAAGAGGGTTTGGCGGCGCTACGTCTGGAGGTAAGCACGGCCGAGAAGATGCTGTCGGCGCTGGGACAGGCCCGGAGCCTGCGGGAACTGGTTCTGAGGAGCGGATGCAGGGACGAGGAGGTGGGGGGATAGTGAGAGGGTTCTCCTGTCAACAAGTCGCTACATACACTCACCCTCGACCTCAGAGAGTGCAGCGACCACGGAGCAACCTACTTGTCTGAAGTATGAGGCAATTTCTTTTTGGGCAGATAACTCCTCACTTCTTATTTGTGCTCTACTGTTGTGTTCTATCTACCCACATGATGATGTGTTGTGTGCATGATCTCGCAGCTGATCCAGAGACGCCCAGTATCAAACCTGACTCTGATGCGAATAACGTCACAGCGTGGGGGCAGAGGTTCTGGCTGGAGCCCTCCCTTCCTCTCCCCTCCTCTCTCTCACTCTCTACGCCACCCAGATGGATCTAACACGACTGCTGTTTGGGGACGATGGGGCGCGGCTCTTGCTTGCCCTCCCCCACTGCACAAAAACACACCTCACACGCATTCGTCTCAGCACAGAGTGGGATTACTCCGGACTGGGTTGGAGTATTACTCTCCCAATCACGGAGGAAAACCCAGAATCACGTCCCTCAAATCTCCTCTCATGTCATCAACGGAGTCGGGGCGGCCAGCATCTCACGTTTCCTCTCTACAACGTCTCATCTCCAACAGTTGAATCTCAGTGAGAACCACTACATTGGGGACGAGGGAGCGAGAGAACTAGCGTTGAGTCTCTCCCACAACTCTTGTCTCGAGGTCCTATGTCTCAAGTCTTGTGGTATAGGTCAGAGTGGAGCCAAGAGGTTTGCCGATCCTCTCGCTCAAAACACCAGTCTCAAGTCCTCAATCTATGTGGGACTGGTGAGATTGGGGACGACGGTGTGGAGATGATTGCCAGGGGATTGAGGGGCAACTCGGGGCTCCGGAGCTGGACTTTGTCGTCGTGCGGGTGACAGATGAGGGGTGTGCTCACCTTGCCCGGCGCTCTGAGCACCACCGGCACGACTCTCACTCACTCACTCTCCACAGAACTGCATCAGTGACGGAGGACTGTTTCACACTGGCTCACTGCCTCACAAAAACAGGTGACATGTTTTTTAGGCTACTAGTTAGTTTATGGGCATCCAAGTGCTTAATTTAGGTAATCTAGGCCTTGCTTTCCTTTTAAAAAAGAATTCTCCTGGGTATAGTTGTATTGATATTTGCCTTGAGCTCATTGGTGGCACATGTATAGCTAGTCCAGCATTATAAAGCCATTCGTAATAAACAGGACCTGTTCTTTTCTCTTCCTTTTGAGCTGTTGAATAATGTTATGCTCATATGCATGTGTTTCTCCATTAGATTCATGAGATGTGTATTATCCCACCCCACAGTAGTCTGTTGGTCCTGGTGTTGTCAGAGAACCCAGTGGGAGAGAAAGGAGTCACCGCACTGGGCAAGGCTCTGGAGATGAACACCACTCTCACCTCTCTGGTCCTGGGAGCTGCAGGAGGAGGAGAGAGAGGATCCCGGTCCCCCTTCCCTAGGTGAGTCCAGGTTGTGTAGTCTATGGTTACTGTCATGGGATCACTAACTGGGCTCAAAAAAACCGATTGACCGCATGACTGAACTAAGCCAAACATAATTAGTCGCTGGGAAAAATCCCCGTACAAAATTTTGCCTCTCCAACAAAAATCCACGTATCCCTTGCTGTATTGGTGAATGCAGAGACTCAGAGAGTAGGAAGCTGGCAGGCACCGAGACAAGCAGGTCTCCAGTGGAAGCCAGAGGAGAAGAGGGAGGGAGGAGGGGGAAGGGAGCGCTACAGATGTTACCAGAGGGAAGCCCTGAGTCCTCGTCCTCTACCCTGGCACTGGTGGAGGCTCTGGTCTCCAAGAACAGGAGACTGGCTGCCTACAAAGAGACCATCAGAGAACTGAGAGAGAGAGTAAAGATTTTAGAGGAAAAGAATACTAGGTAGTTTTCGCTATATACGTGGAAAGCTTGCCTGACTAAACTCAGAAGGATTGCAACAAACATAATAAATGTAATTGCCTAGAGATCATGAATGTACAAGCAGAGTCACAGACCACCCATAATAATATTATCACAAACAGCCCCGGAGACAGATCTATATTATAAGTATGACGGAGAGACTGCAAGACTTTCATATTGTAAACACGAGTGTTTATAAATAGAGCTAGACATGACGTGTATGAATGCAGCTGTTCGATCTCAATGACAGTGCATTATTGCTAAGCAGATTCATGCCTTTAACTTTAATTAACAGTCCACAGCACACTCTTTACAAAATATTTTGTGATGTATAATATACCCTCTCCCCCTTGGCATATTAAAGTTTAGTGCACTGACCACTTCACTAATTCACCTAATGTTTGCTTTCTGGCCTTTTTCTTAAACAAACTTAATAGTGAGTTCCTTAGGACCAGACCTCTACCACAAGGGTCCAGTAATGGCGTGTCACTGAGTCACACTGACTGAATGTTATTCTTGGTGGAACTATAAGCCTCAAGGTAGACAGCACTTCATTGTAGCAGTATAAAGCTGCATGCATCACCGTGCTGCCACAAGTGACTTAATAGAAGACTCTATATATAAATAGTGAATGATGCAATGCAAAATTCCCTGGGTATTTTGGGTATATTTATTCATTGTGTATGAATGTGCATGTAAACATTCTTGATGCAGTCAACTGGAAACTCAATGCAGACAGTGAGAAATGGTAAGAGTGCAAGACTTTGAGAGTAAGGAGCAAGTAGTTCAGAGTGAGAAGCAAGATTATAGGGAGCTATTCAAATTGTCCAGTACTTGGGGTCATAAATTCAAATCCAGTGCACCAGTGAGCAGCAGTAGAATAATCACTATGACTTGTCCTATAGAGACAAAACTTCAATAAAACCTTACTAATTTTAGGGACATACCACTGGATTGGTTGGAAGAGGAATTTAGGCAATGGTTTCGGCAGGATGACAGTAGCCCATTATCGTCCATCTCATGTTTCATATGAAGCACACTGCCACCCAATCTCTCGAATGCAGACACTTGTTGCAGGCTGCGTTCAGTATTGGTGAGAGGGGACAAAAAACATGACACACAGATGATGCCGGAGTTGGACAGCATTATCAGGCCTCACCATACCACACTCTCCTCAGCTACTAGTAGCTAGTACAGGTCGTTCTGAGCTTATTTGTGCTAACGTGTCATCCAAGCATTACTACCATCCTCCAGGCATGCACTTGAATTACATATATACCTCTCAACATTGATGCACTTTCCGTGGTTATGTTGGATTTCACCAACAATAAAGACGCAGTCACTTTTGTTGGGGCTCATGCACTGCAGAAGGACTACAGTTGGACAAAGTACTGAATGTGCCACGATTGCTGTTGTGTGTTGTGTGCCTGCAGTAACAGCAAGCAGTAAACTGAGCAAAGCAATAGTCACAGAAGGCTAACATGATTGTCTGTCGTAGTGGAAGATGGCAGGTTCACTCATTCCAACATCATTTATTGCAACCAACGATAGTTCTACAGGACAATCAGGGCAACCTTGTGGCATCATCTCACTCAAATTAACCGACTCAGAAGTAGTGTACTACAATAAAAAACCCACATTTTATAATTATATTTCAGCTAACACACACTTTTCCATGATATATACCTTTGGTGGTATGGATGATTCATTGGTGAAAATTGAATAGTTGAGTGTGACATTATCAGGTATATTAGTTGGTCTCATCCATGAAAGAAGGCACGACATGTTATCCAACTTTATTCCTCTTAGCTTATTGGAGCGACCTACAGCAGATAGCCTTATATAATTATAGAGTAATATAGGATTGTTAGCTCACCATACACTTCAACTGTAAAATGATGATCATATGGCAATGAGTAAAGTTCATGTGCAATGCATCTAACAGTTACACGAGTGCGATTTTGTTCAGTTCCACAAATCATCAGTTGTGAGAAATTGCCATTAAAGGTGGCAGTACAGTTCACCGAGAAAATTGTTTCGGAGTCTAGTTCATCGTCAGCGCTTATGAGTTGATGTCTTCCAGTAAAACTGCCATTTTCCCCTATTTCCCAACCCGCACGGCTTTCTTTCACCTGACACTCGACTCTCTCACATCCACTGCTTGGCAGAAGAATCACACTACTTCCTGGTGGCCTGGTCCACAGGACTTCTTGCCCGGCAGAGACACTCACTGCGGAGATGAGTTTTCTGAAACCCAAAGAAAATAATCTGACGCATATATAGCTAGCTACCTATAATTGCTGCGATGAGAACACGAGCCATTTCTTGATCCGATCTTCCTCCTTGATTGGTCCGTAAGTGATGCATCTGCTCGCAGAGTATAATGCGTTGAATTTATAGTCTAGTCTCGGGGAAGCGCGCCCATGCACGATCGAGACGATCGACGATACGGCGTGTGACTCTGCGCATGCGTGTTAGCGCACGCCTCGCTCTGCCACTGCTTGGCCATATTATTATTCATGAGGAATACACAAAACTGAATTCTCTCATTCTTCTTTTAAACTTTACAGCAATCTACTTTTCTACAATCTGCTATCATTGTCTGCTCAATGTTCTAATTTTTGTGTAAAAGCCGAAGTTGCCAGGCAGGCTACTAGCTATATTATACTTCCTTTTCTTGTGCAGCTTGAATGCAAAACCATAATGTTTAATGACCATTACTGTAGCAGACATTATCATTAGTAGTGAGTCCAGTCATCATGACAGGTGCAGAGGGTTTCATGACTTCATAAGCATCGGCCTCTGTACCCAGCACTGGCTGTTGGTAGGTGGGGGAAAACGGTACGGGATTAACCACACCCACATTCACCGAGGGGGTGCGGTCTCCGAGTTTGTCCATCTTGTACCAGTGATTAGCGACATTATCTACATCTTCATAGGTGTGGCCTGACTGGGGGCGTCGCCCTACACCTGCATGGTTAGAGATATTGTGGTGGCTAGCGATATTATAGAGTGGTGATGTGAAGGAGATACCCATGGCATCCAAAGGGTTAAGGGAATGTATATACAGTACGTAAGGGCTAAATCAATAAGGCCCAGTGAAAGAGTGCAATAAATTTCCTTTATTAATTCTATATTTAGACTGCCACATTTGTAACAGTTTCTATATTTAGACTGCCACATTTGGCTATTAATTAATAATTTGTGTATCAGGCTCATTGTGGGAGACAGAGACTAATATATACCCACGCTCATTTACATGAAAAATGGCTAGCTGATTCTCGACTCTATCGGCGGTCTTCGTTTGTCGACTCCGAGTTCCTTGAGACAGAGGACGAGGAGAGGGTAGTGATGATCAGAATCAGATAGCAGCTGCTAGTACTCTTCCATCACCGTCACACGCAGCACAGATGGACATCCTGAATCCTGCATACGTAGTACTATACTATAATGTTGATAGCCGAAATGAAATAAGAAAGTGTGTGGGTGATGAACCCTCTGATCTTTATTTTGTTGTAGTCGGACAAGATGTATGCTTTGATGTAGTGCATTTTACCATTATCAATTGGGGTCTCAGTTTGTTCACTGTGGTGTGATAGCTTTCACAGATCACTGGAGATGGTGCTCCTGTAAAATGTAATACACATGTTATCAACAACAACACGTCAGTTGCGGCTATCGTACCTAGTGTGAGATATACAGTGTATTAGTGAGTAGAGACATATGTTATCCCCTTCACTCTATATGTGGCGCGGCAGGTCCATCTTCTTCAATATCAGATCACCAGTAGAGATGATAAGCCCACCACGCCATGGTCCCTATCTAAAGCTCTCCATACTTCGCAGCTAGACTGCTATTCTTCTCATGCTGGCAAGGCTGAGCATAGCACATACGACTCTGCTGAGTGTGACGCGAGTATGATGTTCAACCTGGGTCTCACAGTGGCTCGTGAACCTGCGCAAGGTCGCTACTACTTTAGTATGAAGCGGAGCCTGTGTGGGCCGTTTCTGGCACTTGCCGGTGCACGGGACGTGTGTGTGTATCTGGGATGCATGGAGGGCGGTAACAACACACAAGTGTCAAACTTAACGGAACGCCGGGGCTCCTGAATGTGTATACGGAGGCGTTATTGAGAGACGCGACTTAAAAAGCCGAAATGCTCAGTGTGAACTGGTCATGGTCCAATTGTCTCTTTCATGGAGAATCGTCACTACACACTCGACAACGTGAGCGGCCTCCTGCGAAGCTGGAAAGTCAAACTGGTTCTCTGCGCGCATGTGCTCGAGAGTAGTTCTCTAGTTCTTTCTCACTGTCCAACTCCTCGCTGCGGCCTACAATGTGGCTGAGCTCGCAGCTGTATGCTCCCCCTCCACCGTACAACTCACTGAATCCTGACTTTTGCCTCTCCTCCAGGCTCTGCGTAGTAGGGTGAGCGGCTGCCTGGGGTAGGGGCTACATATGGGAATCTGAAAGAAAGTCTTTGTTTGTTTAGTTTTTCATGAGATTGGTGATTCCACATTTTAGCTCTTAGTGCTGTGAGTTCAATGGTAAGACGCGTTTGTGCACGTGACTGCAGTGTGGGTATCTCCATGAAAAATCTCTGGAGTTCTGCACGAAAAAACATATTATTGGTCAGTCAAGTCTGTGGCTTACTATTTTAGTTTCACTATCTATGTGTTGTCTTCTACTACTGCTTAACACTGGCACAAAACAGGGCACTAGAGGTTTGGGACCATGCAAGTAGATAGTACACACATGCTAGCTGCAGCGCATTTGGATGGAGAAAAAAAATAGGAGGAGCGAATGAGAGTTAATTGAGGGCCTCACTTCTGTTGGAGAGAGAAGACAGAGTAGCGGAGAGTGGCAGGGGCCTAATGGCTCTAGCTGTCTCTGAGCCCTGGTGGGTTTCAGCTATTCTCGAGGAGAGTAGGGGGCCGTGGCAGGGTGAAGTTCGTGGCTGGTATGAGGTCCAGTACGTAGCAGAGAGTAGGGAGACAATCTTCTCCCCCATGTAGAGTAAACGGGGTACTCGCAACTAGGGAGCCTGAGGTCTGTGTAGGAGGTGTTCCTACGGCAGCTCAGTTGGTCCTGGGCAGGGGGTTAAACGCTGAAAGGATAGGCTAGTTATTCAGTATGGAGAGTATCTGAC